TTTACTCGTACTTAGAAGCTGACTATTGTGTTATGAGTTTTTAATCAAAATCTAACTGCTTATTGGCGAATTATTTATTATGGCATTTTTAGTTCTAAATTTAACCTAGAATGTTGAGGGTAATAAGTTTGGCAAGACGCACTATCATTTACCTTGGATCTAAACAACGTGCTATATATCTGATCGATGATCGTAGGCACATGATGAAACAATTATTTATTTTTACTTTTATGTTATTTAACTGTTGTTATGTTACACTAAGTAAAATTGCGAAAAAATTATATTGGCCTTGTGTCAATGAAAAACAGTTCAAGCTGTTACTGGGCCCCGATATCTTTAATAGAAGCTTGTAGATTTTTCAATGTTAACCCTAGAACTACACATTGGGGTATAGCAGCATTTCAAATTCACACCAAGTGGAAATTTATGAGGATAGATACATAACGCTTTACGTAAATTTAAATTATACCATTAGCTTCTCCTCATACTACTTAGAATTACGAGCCTCAGTTGGTGTCAAAACTTCGTCGGGATAAAAGCTAATTCGACAGTGGTGTAACTAGGATCTACAGGAACCCAGGGTGTAGTTTCTTTTAGTTCTGCGCACAAATAATAAAACAGAAATAATATTCTTCCTATAATGCTTATCCGATGTGACAATGGCAATTCATAACATTTTCGTTTCCTCTGCATATTTTGACGTGGTTTCAAAAAGTATTTGTAATCATCCTGTTAAAATATGATTTGAATCTACCCTAAAAATACGATTAATTTTCAATTTTAAATTCCATTTTCGTGTTTTTTCTTACTATCGTGCGTTCGTAATTAAAAATAAAACTCACTTCGGAATCGTACACAAATTTTCTGACTATTTTGTAACGTTAAAAATCTTTGGGGGCCGTAAGACTCCAGTGTTCAGTTTATGTAACAAACAATACGTGTGCAGTTGCAGGGTTAAATTTGTTACATTTGTACGGCGTCTTATTGGCGCCAAAACATCTACAGTACGGCAGCGTAAAAGCGATTCTGACAGTTCAGTCCGCTGTTGCCACACATTACTACGCTTATGGCAACATCTACATCACAGATAAATTAAATCTCAAAACATCAACACTCACTGACAGGCTATGACAAGTCCCTCTATTATGTTCGTAATTTTCGCCAAAGCCGGACCTTAACGCCACCGCGACTTTGTGTGAGTTGGATGAGCGGCGTCGCTGAACCCTGGCTGTGAGAAAGGAAACAAATCCTCGCAAACTGATTGCTTCAGAGCAGGTCACATGACGTACCACATCACGCGGCGAGAGAACTGTCAGAGACGCTTATACGCTGCCGGTACTGTCGTGCAACGAACTGTGGATATTCTGCTGGCTGTGATGCCAAGAAGGTGTTTACAGTACAAGAGGAATAAACATTTGGGAATGTATCAAAACTATTCAAAAACGAATGACAGTCTATTAAAAACCAGTTTCATGAATTAGCACATAAAATTTCTGTGGTTAAGAAATAAATTTCCTTCTACATAGAACGAAAGAAAACTCGCAGCAGAAGAGTGGACGAGTATTTTAGAAACGGCATTCTAACAACGTCAGTTTCCTAGCAATAAAAAACAGATAATATGGATGGCGTTCACATGCGCGAAACCCATAAGAGACTGGGTGTCGACGTTGCAAAATCTTCCACAAGTCGCACGTAAAGATGAAAAATAAGTATGTAACGTGACGTCAAGAGAGCATGAGGAATTAGTAACACACTTGCGTCAGTGCTTTAGAAAATCACATACCTCCTATGATTGTCTTCCCTAGAGTGCATTATGAAAAGCAGCACCTCCAGGGACAAGCGGATGATTAGTCCAACAAAAAGATGGATCATTTTATAAAGCTCACTACACTTTCTATGTACGAACGTGTGCCACTTGTAACTGATAACCGTGCATATCACCTTTTGTTGTAAATCTGACCCTTAGCATCTATTCTTGGAAGGATGATTGTAACGTTTTCACCACCACTCTTCTCACAAATTAAAACCTCTTTACCTTTCAAATTTAAATATCTGTTGAAAATATTTTTGAGACTTACGCTCTACATTATAAGGTCAGTTCAGGAAAGGTAAGGTAGCTACATGTTCATACTCATGAAACCCATGATACTTTTGTGCTAGGTTCCTTTAAAGGTCTGGAGTACTATAGGCTATAATTTACAACTGTAAACCTCAGTATATTTACAAAATAATTACTTTTCTGGATATTTTTTGCTTAGCTTTACATCACAGATTCAAGAGTGCATCAATGTCAATGGTTTAGATGCGCACCACCAGACGAGGTGTCTGAGATCTACCGATTTCATCAATGTCTAGAATTATGAGTTTTACGAAATTCATAGGGATTTGAATAAGGTTATGTAATACCAGTGTGAGAGCGTTGGTGATTTGTTAGTGTTGAACGTTTATGCAACGTTCGAAAGAATACCGTAATCGAAGAAGTAAATAATGTCAATGTTCATGCATTGTCTTTAGTCCGTGTTACATACCATGACAGAAAAAATGAGTTTGAAAGTGTTTAAAAATTGAGGTAAAGAGTAAATTGAGATTAAGAGTAAAAAGTACAATAACATACAGTACAAGATATACAGTAATATAAAATGTACAATACATAGATATCGAATATAAATATCATATACTTTCTAAACAACCTCTTTTTTTACAGAAATTTGTGAACACTGAGTTATATGTCACCGAAACGAAAGTAACAGTGTTCAAAAAACCCTACCAGTGCTAAGAGACGGGAAGTCTATAAAAATTCTGAATCGGCTACTTAGAGGCAATAGCTGCTTGCTGAACACACTCGCACCATTGAAAATAATAATTCACGAGGGAAGTAAATGTGAATAATTCTCTAGAAAGTTGGGCAGCTTTTCATTATGACTCTCAATTTGACTATTTACACAGCTCTCATGTTCAAATTTGGAAAAGGTTTCACTGACTGTTATCATATTCTTGTATCTATTTATCTTTGGCCCATTCTTTTCATTGTAGACAGTTGTACTTCAAAAAGAAATTAAAAACAATTGATTAATACATATTCCGATTATTCGGCTTCATCCATGTATTAAAATCATGACACAGTTAACAAAAAATCAATAACACTACTATACAATGGGCGGTGTTTTTTTCTTTTCAACCTGATTCCCTATGCGTTTCGAGCTGTCAAGGCACTTCATCACGTGCTTTGCATACCTAGAATTTAAAATAATCAAGACATTAAGAATTAAAATCAAAACATGTTGATTAATAAATAGCTTAGAAAGACAAATTAACGACAAATATTGACTACAATTTAAAAGTAACACAATGTATCTATGCTTATACATTAACGGCGTAATGAGGTAACAACTTGATAAAAAAACAACAACAAAGATTAAGAGGCTAACACAACAGGAGACAGTAAACAGAACGGAAGACTGACCTTCATGAACATTAGGACATTTAATCAAAAGGGGGAAACAAAATGGCGTTGATTTTACAAAGAAATAAATCACTTAATCAGCTTCACAACAGGCATACTCAGCACAACGGGTATTGCGGGCGCCAATCTAAAGGACTTTGCGTACCGGGTGCTAGTTCGTGTAAGACTGGGGCCATAACTCAACAGAGGGAAGGGAGAAGAAAAAGAGGGGGAGGGGAAATGGAAGGTGAAAACTAAAAACAATATGGGGGAGAGGAAATGGGGATAATATAACCTACAATTTTATCTAATATCTAAGGCAGTATCATAGAGTTTAGTTTTACTATTTGATTCATGGTGAGATTGATCTTAATATGAAGTGATTTTAAAGTCAACTTACCGAAATAACTATTTTCAACCTCAAGAATGTCAGGGTTGTCAAAATCTATCCTGTATTTCAGCCTATTTTTATGATCACTTATCGAATTTTGCTAGAAAAAGGCAATCGTCCATTTCATACATAAGCTTCCTTAATATTTTGCCTATATACATATAATCACAATCCAAACATTATTTAAATACTCTCATGTTCAAATTTGTAAAATGGAAAATTTATGTTTTCGGTCAACCCTGTTGAAACTTTTTTTCGGTGTGTGTAGGAGATTAGTACAATTGTATGTAATTATGCAATTATTTTTTTATATATGAAGACTAATCTATCCTGTTGCTGATCAATTGTTCCGATGCATCAATGCAACCATTTCATTTCTTAAAAAAAAGCAAAAATTTAATCTACATTTTATGTCTAAGCTAATAAAAAATTCTGGGAGTCCTTGGTTTCTACTATTCACATTTCAAGATCCATAGTATCTAGCATTTCAGATCAAATAATGAAGCTAATATTGTTTTGTTAAGTGATTTAGTACACTGTCAATTTATTGTGTATACATAATGTACATGTTCGTGGATAAGTATTGTTCTTATGTTGCAATGGTTTGATGAACTGATTTACCTAAACAAATAAGTTTTATACTACACGTTACTAGCACATAGAATTTCAAACATTCGTTTCTACCGTTCCCAAAGTAATTACAAAAACCGACGTTTCAGAATGGATATATATTTACTTTTATGATTATTATTCATCAATTATGTTATGACATCTATATGTATTGCTGCGGATCTATCTTCTTGTGCAAGAACTCTGGCACCTTATACTCCAGTTAAAACAGCAAGTCCCTTCAAGGTCACAAGTTGGCAGAAGATAAATTTTAAAACTTTCTTTATGAATACGTCAGAAGAAAAAAATATATTTAAAAAAATAGTTTTAAGGTTCGTCAACTTATTGAAAGTATTGGTAGCAGATCCTGGTGGCCGAGTCGCGAAGGCAATGGTGCCGAGGTGACCTCAGGCTGAAGAAACGCGGGTTCGAGTCCCGCCTCAGGCATGGTTGTATTTGTGTTCGTTCTTTCACCCTCCATCACCATTTAGTATAGATTTACTCCATTTAGTATAGATACCACTAAGGTTAATCTATAGTGATAGCTAATGACCTCGAAGTTAATGTGACAAACAAAACTAAGTATTGTTATAATATATAAAACTTCACAAAAATAATATACGTTAAGCCTCAAGTTAATCTCTCTTAATTTGTAGTTTAGATTTGTTTATTGTTTTAGTTCGACAGTGCGGAATGTTTAGGAGCTGTCTCTACCAGTAAGAAAAATGTAACTTCTTTAGCGGAAAAGTAAGCGAGCCAGACCGAATATTTCCAAATAGGAGGCAGGACAAGACAGTCCAGGCAACTGCGGGTACTTCGGCAAGTTTGTCGTATTTTTAAAAAAATGTATCATTTAATTTTAATAGTAATAATTCGTAAATTCATCATAATTTTTCAATACTTCCCACAGTTCTTACTTTCGAATCAATCAAAGATTACTGCAAAGTGACAGACAGGATCTTCGACTATTTACTTAATGAAAATTAAAATCATTTTGTCTCACTTATTCAAACAATTTTTGATTTACAGCGAAACCTTTCTGTAATACAGGGACTTCACACCACCTTAAATATATACATTTTATATCGTATTACAACGTAAACATTAAAATTGCAATTGAAATGCAAAATATCCAAGTTTGTTTACAGGCTCTGAGTCACAATCGTCGAATTTTAGTTACGTTCATTTTCTTTGAATAAAAACGTTATTAAAAGATACGATTTGATCCTGAAATAAGTTTTCAACTTCTTTAATGCCTTCCAGAGGTCTTACTGACATAAATAATTAGGATAATAATACACAACACAATTAGTATTATAAATCAGATTGTAATTTTGTATTAATGGCACAAACCTTGAACACAAACATGAGTGAACACAAACATTTGTTTCTACTGGGTTGAAAGCCGATAAAGGCCACCAAACTAATTGGATTTACAAATAGTCACTACCCTTTAATGGACTTAACAGCATACATCATATTGTTTAGACAACACTACAAATTCGAAACCTTGCACTTGTTCTACCCAACAAATTTCTATAGAATAGTGCAAGTCGTCACGGCACAAGGGTTTTTTAATGTTAAATTGGATGTCTATCAATAGAAATATTGTAATAGAACTTCATATACGAACTGAATTTATTTTGCCAAGGCATTAATGATTAAAGTTATAAAAGTTGTCGTAAGTTATAAAATCTTTGAATATTTTAAAAAATACAATATTTTACACCTCAGAAATACACCCTGCTAGCAACTTCCTACAAAATATTAGAGAATTGATATATCGACAATAAATTGTTGGACATTTTTGGAGATATTTTTGGCAAAGCATTATTTCTGAGATGTACAATATCCATATTTTCAAAGGAGATTTAGAATATTGGAAATATATAGTAATTAGGCTGAGCAAATAAGAGGCAATCAATTCTTTCTTTCTTGGATATAATTTTTTTCCTGCAGAATAACCAAACTGCATTACGACAATTTAATGGTTCGTCGTTAACTGTTTCCATCTCTAAATAGACAATGCCAGCATTTATTCCAATATATTCATACAACATTATCACACTGTACGTAAAAGTATTAAAAAGTGATTCACATTTGTTGAAATAAAATGTAAAAGATTGCAGATCAGACTCCTGGGAAATAACATTAAAAAAGTAAAATATTACATTAAAACTATCCAGTAATACATCAGTCCTTTACCTCACTAACAATTCTCACATTTGTGAACTTTCAGCATTGGGTAAGGCGTCGATGTATATATTTTATCGACGACGACGGCGTCTTTGATTGGTACTTGGCGGTTGAGCTTTAGTTGGAACATCTTTTCCTTCTTTTAACAGAATATTTTCTGCTGGCGAGTCCTTCAACTTTTCATTTTTCGACTTTTTGCCTTTAACGTTCTGCGATATCGCAGACTCTGCGAGTATAGACTGGTCTTTTTGAGTGACGTCACAGGATTCCTCCTGTTTGGGAACATTTTTAGACTGTTTCTGCTTAGGAATATTTTTCGAGGATCCGGGGGTAGGGGTGCTTTTTGGTCCCGGTGGAGGAGTCTGCTTGGACGAGCCCGGTGGAGGAGTCTGCTTGGACGAGCCCGGTGGAGGAGTCTGCTTGGACGGGCCCCGTGAAGGAGTCTGCTTGGACGGGCCCCGTGAAGGAGTCTGCTTGGACGGGCCCGGTGAAGGAGTCTGCTTGGACGGGCCCGGTGAAGGAGTCTGTTTGGCTGATCCTGGTTGTGGACTGTGAGATGACACACTCCAACTTATGTGATCCCAAGACACGTCTTTCAATTCTTCATTGGGTGGGAAATATAAGTCTACGTCTTCAGGAGGCACGAGAAATAGTCTATGCGAACGAACAATGTCGACCTCTTCACTCGTACCCAATTTCCGTTCTGTTTCGCCCATAATAACCTTTTCTACCTTTCTGGGCACTTTCGCTGCATTACTGACAAATATAAGATTCTTCCGACGCGGAGTACTCGCCGACATCCGTTTGATTGGAGATCTCCGAGTATTTTGTTCTGGTGCTTGCAGAAGTTTGACAGGATTCCGAACGTACTCAGCTCTCTCCACAAAACCACCCCAGATATCTAATTCATGAAATTTGACGTTTCGTGGATCTGCGCCAAGGTCCATCAATGCTTGAACGGTATTTTTTCGTTTACTTGCAAATGCCTTATGCAAAGGCGTTTCTCCTAAAGAATTGAAAGCGTTCACATCAGCCCCTTTATTGACAAGAAAAATAGCACATTTCGTCTGACCCAGCAATGCAGCCATATGCAAAGGCGTGGAACCCCATATATCCTCTGAGTCTACATCCAAGCCTAATTCAAGGAGAAAAGCCACAACGTCTATTTTACCTCTGTAAGCTGCGTTATGCAATGCCGTTCGTTGGTACTGGCTGTCAATAGCAGTTTCATCCGCACCTCGGCCAATCAGAAACTTTATGAATTCCAACTTTGCGTTACCTCCGCACGCTAAAAGTAAAGGAGTGAAACCTCGAGAATCTGTTAGATTTATCTCCATGCCCGTGCTTAGCAGATACTCCGTCGTGGCCATGTCGCATTCTATCACGGCAACGTGTAGTACAGACCATTGATTTCCTTCCAATATATTTGTATTGCCACCTGCATCTACGAGAACTTTTAGAACTCCAGTGTTTTTAAATCGCGTAGCTAATATTACAGGTGTGTAGTTGGTGCAATCAGCAATGTTAGGGTCCGCGCCGTGTTTTAACAGAGCTTCCGCTATACACACGTGGCCTGAAATGGCGGCTAAATGCAGAGGCGTGCGTCCATCTTGGGTCGTCACATTTGGTTTTGCACCCTTCTCGAGTAACATCTCCACAATTTTGAGAACGCCACTTTTGACAGCTATATGAAGAGGGGCATTTTTAGCAGAATATTCTTGCACATTTGGATCTATACCCACATCCAAGAGCAACCTGATAATTTCATCGTTTTTCGAAACATTGCCGTAATGAAGTAAAGAACAATGACGAGGATTTGTTTTATCTATTACAGCTCCATGTTTAAGAAGGGTTTTCATAGCTTCAACCTTCCCTACCATTGCTGCTAAGAAAATACACTTTTCATAATTCGACTTGCCTGATCTGTCATCAACGCCCATTTGTATCAATAGTTCTATAATCTCACAGTTTCCTCCCATGGTGGCATAATGTAAAGCATTCAATCCGTTCCTGTCTTTAGCTTTGCCGTCAGCACCTCTCTTCAGCAGAATATCCACGAACTTTAAGTTACCCACTTTAGCTGCGATGTGCAAAGGTGTCACCCCATCACAATCTGAAACATTTACTGCGTGTTTCTTCACCAATAGTTTCACTAACAAATCCAACTGTTGGTACGCACACGTATGATGTAAGGGTGTCGCCCCAAATAGATCTCTGTGTTTGGTGATATCCGCGTGTTGATACATTTCCAGCACTATTTCAGAAAAACCTTTGGCAATCGCTACTTGTAGTGGATGTATCTCAAACTTGTCAGCGGTGTACACATTAGCACCAGCCTCCAGAAGGACTTTAACTGTGTCCATTTTATTTTCGTCAACAGCGTGGTACAAGGCGGTGCGACCCCTTTGATCAGCGGATTCCAAGTGGATGCCGTGCTTGATTAACGCCTTCAACACTTCGGACATCCCACTGGCAGCTGCCAGCATAGCTGGCGTCATCCAGAATTTGTCACGAGCGTTTACATCGGCACCAGCTTTCAAAAGCACCTGCACTGTGTTCAAGTTCAACTGTTTGCTAGCGACATGCAGAGGGGTTTGGCCATCGTGCTTGCGTTTGTTGCACTCCAACCCGTGGTCCAGAAGCAACTTTACGATGTTGTGGCGCCCATAGTAAGCCGCCGTGTGCAACGCAGACACACTGAACAGACAAGGATCATCCGCACAGTTGTTTTCCAACAGGTACTTTGCAACATGTGTATATCCTTTGAACGCGATCTGCGGTAACGGGAACACGTAGGGCCGCGGCAATTCGAGTGTGAACAGCACTGTATCTTCGTTGAAACAATCGTCTTTGTTGTTTATTAAATCTTCGGTCAAGCCTAGTTTCTCAGGGTCGATGTCGGAAGCGGGAACCACGAAAACTAGAGAATCGCTTCGACATTTATCTTTCATCTCGTGGAGAACATACGCTCTCTTGAGCATCAACTGCAACTTTTCATCTTCCGATTTCTCCCGCAACGTCTTGAGGCGGCTGGGGTCCCCTCCCTGCTCCAGAAGCATCTCGATGATGGCCAGGTTGCAGGTGGCGTCCGCATAGTCCAGGGGCGTCCACTGCCGAACTTCGTCTTCCACGTCCGTTTCAGCGCCCGCCTGCGAACAGGAGAAAGGACGAACAGCCTTCGTCTCATCATTCATACAAGTTTATTGCCCACACCAGGAAAATTATACAGAAAAAAATAAACACACTTGTGTACCTCCCCAGAGAAGCACCGCTCAAGTCGGGACAAGCACTAAAATCCCGACGTGTGTGATAGTTCATGTAAGTTTTGTGCGTATGTATGTGTGTGTGTTTGTGTAAAGGGAGAGGAAGGACAGATTACGCGCAGTCCGTGGCTCGTTTTTTAGAGAGCTTATATTTGCGTGGGATTGATAGTAGAAACAAGAGAAAACTACCGATTAGAACAGCTGGCCACTAGAATTCTCGTCCAGACAGAAGCTGGATTCGATCTATTCGTATAGCCAACGTCGAACATTAGGCACTATGAGGACTCAACCCAGGGGCACATAAATTATTAATATACATAGAAACATTACACACAACTGCAGCTTTCCCAGTGATCAGATGGACATGTCCGAGCTTGGTATGACCTATTCTGCATCTAGTTAACGTAACCTGGTCAGCTCTGCAGAAGGATGTGGCTGGATTATAGCCCTCGTATTCACATATATTCTTTAATTTGCTGCGAGAGTTAGTGTTCCATTTCTGTCTGTCCAATTCTGGTAGCTGGCGTGGTAGTACTAGTATCATGGGAAGGTTTCTTCTTTCATCATGTTGTGACATCTTTTGCAGATCTGTCTGCCGTTTCATTCTCGATGATACCCAGATGAGCCGGGAACCATGAAAAAGCTATCTCTACCTTTAATGTTTGAGTTCCTTATCATACTGGCAATGTCTAAGGCTAGTGGATTTCCAAAGTAAAAGGCATTCCCAATAGCCGACAGAGCCAATTTGGAGTCTGTTACTATTAGAAATTTGCGATCATCGTATTCTAGAATGTAGTCTAGTGCGATGATGGCATATAACTCGCTGGACAAAACTGAGTACTTGTTGGGCAGTTTGCTTTAGATTACTCTTGGTGTTACAGCGGCACATTCCACCAAGTTTCTACTCTTCGAGCCATCTGTGTATACTTTGTTGTAGTTCTGATATTTGGAAATTTCGTCTCCTATTTTAGCTCTTATCTCTGGATTATGAGTTTTTGACATCTTAATATTGTTTATCAGCTCCTCAGCTTTAATGTTTTGTATAGTTCATGGAGCATAGTCAGTGATACTGATAAGTTTAAGCGGTGGAATGGGTTCTGATATTTTGCTTAGTATTTGTGTAGCCCGTACAGCAATTGGTTTTTGTTCTGTTTTTGAAGCGTAGTTTCTTCCTGTGACTGTATACAAGCTGGTAATTTTGGTTCATAGGGCTACCACAGTTTGCAGTAACTTTGATTACATACTCTACGACTACATTTCTTTTATCTAGGGGTGGTAAATTAGCTTTCTGTAATATGCTTATGACCCGACTTGTTCTGTATGCGCTGCATATAAGTCTGGCACCAGTATTATTGATAGGATCGGGTATTCTTTTAATATCTCATTTGCAGCATCGTAGAATATGCTGCCGTAATCCATTTTAGCCCTGATCAATGCCTGGTATGTTCTTCTAAGCACTGTATAATCGGCCCACACGATGAGTGGCTTACGATTTTAGCCTTTTAGTACATTCCACTTTCAGGATTTTAATGTGAGCTATTCAGAATAGCCTTTTGTGAAGTGTCAGACCTAAGACGTAAGGTTTTACATTGTTTTATATTATTATCACCCACGTTCAGTGATGAGGTATTCTCAATGGATCGTTTCCTGGAGAAAATAATGAATGTGGATTTCGTTTTAGAAGATTTTAGGCCTACATCAGTGGAGAATGCGAAAATGGTGTCTAAGATATTTTGCGCTACAACTGCTACGAATGACAGATGTTTACCAGTGATACATATATTACAGTCATCTGGGTAGATGCTGACTAGCGCAGTTGGTTTAATTTTGGTCTGCAGTTCGTTTATTATCAACAGAAACACAGCTACACGACGAACAGAGCCCTGCGGTACTCCAATTTCCAGCATATATCTCTCTGATAAGGATCCTCTTACACTGACATTAATATACCGTTCATTAATGAAGTTATGAACGAACTTAGATATGTTGCCTGTAATTCCATGATTCACGATTATCTCCATGATACGTCGGAGCCAGACCATCTCATATGCCTTTTCGATGTCGAGGCTTAGTACCACTGTGAACATATTATTGGCGAATCCACTGTAGATGCTCTTCTCCATTATTGCAATGCTAAGGCTAAGGCTTCTTGCAAAAACCTCTTTGATGGGGGCCATATTATTTGATGTTTCTCTAGGTCTATGGCTCCACCATTTAAGTCTATGGCTCACTATCTTCAAGTAATTTACACAGGCAACAAGTTAAGGCCATAGGCCTGTAGCTGTCTATTAAAAAATTGTCCTTACCAGATTTGTGAATTGGAACTATAACCGCTTCTGACCTTTTTTGCGGGAAGACATTGTTTAAATATAAATAATTGTAAATGTCTAGAAGAATACTGCTAACTTCTTCAGGAAGCATCCGGATAAATGTTAGGTATTCCGTCAGGACCGGAGCTGGTATCTTTTAGTGGACGTATATTGATCTTCATTTCTCGGAGCGTGTTGGGTGCATCCAGTTGTATTGAATCATCTGTTTCATCTTCTACTTCCAGGTTTATAGGAAATCTCTCAGTATCTTCTTTTTGCTCCGGTTAGACATCTGCAAGGTTTGCATCACTAAGAGTTGGAGGCGAAAAACTTTCCAAAGCTATGTCGTACGGGTCTTGAATGAATTGACCATCTGGCCTGTATATAGACTTCAGGTAAATTATTTTGGATTTTCCATTGATAGCCTTTATTTTCTTCCGGGCCTCCGAATAGTTCAGATTTGATTTTTTTGTGTTTCAGATATAAATGATTCTCATGCATGGCATGAAATTTTTTTAGGGCGAGACTTACAGCTCTAAAACTGACTTTTGTTATGGTGAAGACTAGTTGAGAATAAAGCCCAGGAAAGGGAAGCAATTACGAAGCGAATAAAAAAAATTGTCAATATCGAGAAATGATTATGTACTTGAGTTTTTGAAAGTGCAAACAAACTTACTGTGTTATGTATATTCAGTGTAAATAAAAAATTCACAACCAGATATGAATATCAACTTCATTACAAAGATCTACATTGGGCTAAAGGTATGCTTCACGTAAATTCATAACCATTAAGCGATCGCCTGCACTGTCATTTTTGTCCAGGACAAAGGGTGACCTGGAAAGTTTCAACGTACATGTAAAACACAACTTTCACGTTTCCTTTTGACTGTTTCGGGCGTTTCATGGAACGCGCGTGTTCGCACAGCGGTTCCCGATGAGGCAGAACCGTTGTGAATACGCGCGTTCCCTAAACCTGCCGAAATCGTTCGTCGTCAAACGGAAATGCGAAAATCCGGCGGGCATCTTCCCGCGCAATCGCACAGCGCACCCACCTGCAGGAGCTGGTAGACCAGGTCCTCCCGGGCGTACATGGCGGCGACGTGCAGCGCGGTCCGGCCGACGAGGTCCCGCGCGTGCAGCCGCCCGCCGTCCCACACCACGTCCGACTCGCTCACGTCCTCCCCCGACACGGCCACCTCGTGCAGCAGCAGCCCGTCGGCCAGCAGCCAGTCCAGCTGCGAACGCACGCCGTGGTACTCGCCGGCCGGCGGCAACACGCTCTGCCGCAGGTAGTCGATCCCCAGGGTGGCGTGGTTCTCCTTCAACCACAGGGCCAAGTAGAACTCGGAGAAGCTGCGGTGCACCATCTGCGTGTTCCCGCAGGTCACGTGGGCCGCCAGCTTTTGCGACCTCCTGTAAAACGCCTCGCACGTCAGGTCCACTTCCGGGACCGGCGGGGGCGCGGGCGGAGGCGGGGGCTGCGCGGCGCCTTTCTTCTTCTTCTTGGACTTCTTGGAGCGCGCGGGCGTCGACGTGGCCGCTTCCTGGCGTCTGCGCTCACTGCGCTCGAACTTGAGCACGTAGTCGCGGTACAAGCGGAAAACGCTGCAGTGCGGGAGGTCGTTGCCCAAGCCCTCCGCGTACTTCACGACGTCGAAGTTGCGGGGAGGGGGCACGTACGTGCCGGCGAACAGGAATAAGTAGAGGGGCACGGAGAAAAGGGCTGTGCCGTCGCAGAAAGGCAGGCACTCCGTTACCGTCTCTGCGACAGGATTATAAATCTCCGCCTGATGGCGCATGTCGTTTTCTAAGGCCCAACGTTCCGACAGGTAGTCCGCCTGTTCTTCAACATCGAGCGGTTGGATTTCTAAAGGAGGGCCACATAACGATCGATTTACATCGAGCTCGTCTTTCTCAGTCATACTGACCCATATTTGCCCTACGTTTGTTTCTGATAGTTTCTTGATAAGCTTTAGCGCGGTTTGCTTGGGCGTGTCTTCGAGCTCGTCCAGACCGTCGAACAACACAACGCAATTCCCGCCTGTTTCTACACTGTAATTCAAAAAATTGCGACAGACTGTGGGATTAGTTGAATCTTGTCCTTGCACAATACAATACAGAAACTCGACAATTTCTGACAGACTGATCTCTTCGCTTTCGAAGCTGGTTTCCATAAGAAATCTGTTTTTTGATAAATTAATCTCTATTATCCAGTATGATTTCAATTCTCCCCAAAGATCACTAGCAATTTTTCTTAAAACAGTGGTTTTCCCCATACCACTTCCGCCTGTTAAAGTTACCACTTTCAATTTCCATGTGTCATACTTGTAAGTACTTGTATCACTGTGAGCACATATCGGAGCATTGATACAGCTATTTCCCATTTTGACTATATACTTAAGAATTTTGTCGTCAGACCCGAAACTATTTTTCCAGGTTAAAATATCTCGATCATACGATACCCAATGGATATTCTTTCCTGTGTAATTGATAGAGTGTTCTGTGTATTGATGAAGATCTCGCCTGAACGAGCTCAATACCGAAGATTCTGCGTACGAGAAAATCAATACTTTCTTATTGGGTTCATCCTCAGGAGGATCTATCCGAGTTAAATCGCCTGTGTATCGTCTGCTGTAACCGATGTCTACACCACCGGATACTGCAACTGCAGCCTTGCTCTCACAATCCACCACATATTCAAACCTCGACTGTGATTTATTTCCTGTCAAATTGTTGGAATTCGGATTTGAAGACACGTGTGGAGAATCAGTGACTGACTGATTTTCTCGTCCTGCTTGATTCATCATATCGTTTAAAAGCTTCTTTGGCACTCCAGTGACCATGATTATATCTCGATCCGTGTTCAATTGAAGCACTTCTGGCTTGATAGGGGTTCTGTGGCAGAGAATACGGTTAATATAGGGATCCCATACTGTGTAAGGGACAAGTTCAGCACCCAAGACCCCTATTTGCCCAGTGAGCAAGGCGTTCAGCATGGAGCCATGTATTTCGGAGCGTAACGTGGGCCACACGTTTTCAAGGATTTGTAAACATACCAAACGCCCTTGAAAGCTCACCGAACATTCCATCAGATCCTCTTGCTGGCTATCCTCCAGCTCGTTTAGTGTCCAGACTTCGGTCCATTCCTTGTAGGTTCGTTGGAGAGAGAGAAGCATTTGGCACAACGTTGGCGCAAAGTCCGTTGATATTACGATAATGTTTTTCAGTCTCTCTGTAGCGATAGTATTTAAAATTTGTATTGATTCCTCAGTGAGATCACTGTTTATAACTACAGCGTCACACGCTCTATCGCACAGTTTTGAAAGTGTTGCTGATTTATAATTGCTCAAAATTCTTCCTGATAAAATAAAGAAATTGTTTTTGTGCATAATTCGAAGTGCCTGTGCCACCTTGCAGGATCTTATTTGTTTCGAAATGTCAGGAATACTTATGTAGACAATATCTGTATTTATCTGGCGGATCACATTTTTGCACTCTGTCTCACTAAATCTGACATCTCGTGGATGATCCTCATCCATCATTTTCTTCATTACAGCTTTTTCTAACACTACAGAAGTGTCAGTGAGACAGTTCTCATCCTCCACACGCCATTCTTTCATCCAGTCCATATAGGCCAATAAAAGCTCTCCCGAATCAAGTGTAAGATCCTTCTCTGCACATGCCAATTCTTGTTCTATCAACGGATTCAAATCCATGGGCCCACGTTGTTTCGCGAAAATTCTTAGGTGTGGAAGGAAGAATTTGTAATAAAACTCCGTTTCTCGGTCTTCCCCTACATCTGGATGAAATTCGTCACTGAACGAAACAATATCTTCAGTATCTCCTGTCGCAAATAATTCAAGAAAAGGAAAGTCTACATTTGTAGAGATCACAGGTTTAATATTCCGAGTTAAAGTATCAGTGGTATAAATGATGAACCGGCAGCTACCATTTCTTTTTGTGTGACTTTTCGATTCACCCGTCTCATCATCTAGGTCGACGAGATTCATTTCTGCCAACGCAGACTTGAATATCTGCCAGTAAGTAGGCATATCAAGTGACTCTTGGGTTTCTGTGATCCTTGCTGCCTGATCCTCTTGTGCAAGCACATCTTCAAGACGTCTGTGGGACGCAGGTGAATCATTCCTCTCGCTTGCATTTCTTATATGCGCCGGGGCGACGAGGTAAGTTATCCAACGATCCCGTCCGTTCCTTTCCGTCCATTGCAGATCCAAGAAGAGAACATTCATAATTCCTGTTTCTTTGACGTCCACGTTCAAAGTGAAGTGGACGTTGGTTTGTTTCTTTATGCGTAGGTACATCAGGGCAGCCAACTTCAACATGCAATCGTCCTGCGGTGACGGGAGGCTTTCGGTCGATTCATATCTTGAAAAAAGATAAAATTATGTTATTTATTTGCAATAATGTGCACTCTCATTTATTAGAATTATTATTTTATATAAAATATATTATATTTGTTTTTATTATATCCTTATTTTTACATTTCACCACCTGGTCACAGTTCAAAGTTCTAAGAATTATGTGGAAATGTTTCCCGTTTCGCAATTGCTACTATCATTACGATTCCATTACTTAGCTGACATAATGTTACAGTAAAACATATTTTTGTAAAATAATAATAACAACAACAACAAAAACAACAACAACAACAACAACAACAACAACAATAATAATAATAATAATAATGCCGCCGATCAGATTGTCAGGTTTCTCTAAAATATTAGAGGCTTTTCTATATGCGAATGGACATTTTCTTAGGAAAAACGAAATGTTTTCAGTCTCACAACACGGGTTTAGAAAATCAAAAATCTACGAAAACTATTTTTTCTTTTCATAAAGATGTTGCTTCATCAATAGACCAAAATGAAGCACCCATTGGAATATTTTTAGATCTTTCGAAAGCTTTTGACGGTATTGACCATAACATCTTGCTATCAAAATTACTTTCTTATTGAATTTGTGGTATCGCCCTCGATTCGATAACTTCGTACATTAAACATCGATCTCAAAGAGTAGAAATACCATACTGGAAAGGACATTATTTACTTCCATCCTAGACTTCAGTCAAAGACGTTCCGGTCCGTTCCGGTCCGTTCCGGTCCGTTCCGGTCCGTTCCGGTCCGTTCCGGTCCGTTCCGGTCCGTTCCATTTTATCAGGAGTGGATTAGTTCCCGACTGCCTATCTAGAAGAGACGAACGTCGAAGCCTTACCCGGTGTAATGAAGCACGGCGAATGTTATCCCAAATATGTAACAATGCACTCCTGGGAGCCTGGATGGAGAGTAACTCCAGGAAAGAAAATAGGAAAGAAACAGACCCTTTAACCATCAGGACATCCATACCATCCAACACGGGTCGCCATGCATGTCAATCACATGGATAGGCGTTCAACATACAGAAAAGGCTTGCAAACTGATTCGATTCCAGGCGACTGCGAAGCTCATTAGTCCCGTAAGAGAAGTGCACGTTTTTTATCGCTGGAGGTGGCGGTGGTCATCCAATGGATGGCGAAATCCGGCGTCGACCAACCCGTCTGCTTGCGAGTTTCCCCAATCAAATATCTCCCATCAGCGGGACAAGAACTAAGCTCCCGGCTGGTCTAACGGCATATGTGGAACTGTAGTGCATGTAGTGTGTGTGTGAGGGGTGAGAATAAACAAGCGAGGATAGGACAAGGAAGAGGAAGGAATGATCGCGACCTGTACATTAGGGTACAGCTGCGGCATTCCCTTAGTGTTGATTGGATAAACCACCAACCAGAGCAGCCGCCCACCAGACAGCGGCTGAATTGGAGCTAGCATTGTCGTTTGTGCCGAAAATCCTGCCGCCATCGGACTTGAATCCTAGGACCTACCGATCAGAGGCACTGCAGTGACATCAATTAATGAACTGACACCTAAATCGGTGAGAAGGTTATTAGCCTAAAAGAAAAAGGAATAGAAGAAATGAAATGGAGAACAAAGGAATGGAAGAAGGGGAAACGTGCATTCTCTTTGCGCTGCTTTGAACGGTTATTTCTGACCCGTTCAGAAATACTATACTTACTTGACCGAAAGTGTCCGTGACGATGTCTCCGAAACCGTGATCGACGATGATTTCTTGGTGGTATTGTCTGCCATGGGTAATACTGAAAAGAAAAAAATCTTTTTTAAAGTTAAAGAAAAATATGAGCTGAATAAAACGATGTAGTACGATATCACAGTATTTCATAATCATTGAATGAGCTTCTCATTTAAGTTACAATTAATTAAGTATTGGTTTTGACTCAAACTTCTTGCTGTACTGGAAGAGGACAACAATTCTTGTATGTTTGAAGATATAAGGAAGTAGAATTAAAAAATCAATAAATTAATGCAATGGATTCAATATACTGAGATGAATTAAAATGAAGTTCCTGGCTGGGCGGCCGTTGTCTAGTGGAAATTTCCAATCTTGTCTGCTCCTGCGGAAGAGATCTTCAATGGTCGTGACGAAGTACCCTTGAAGGCAGCTCACAGCTGACCGAGTCAGACTGTAGGTTGCTTTGTCCACAACCACTCCGCCAGTGGCGATGTCTGCTCCAGTTGCAGACGAAACGTCTGGAAATGTTTTCCTCTAAACAACGGCCATTCAGCACGGAAGGTAATTCTAACTTCATTTTAATTCATCTATCTCATTACTTCAAATTAATTTACTTATTTGGATTCTATTTGCTTGAAATGTGATTTACACTAAAACATGGTCGTCCAGCATGGAAGATATACTAATTGCGAATTAATTTTTTTATTAATTTTTTACAATGAAGTTGTTTGGAAAGCAAACTGTTACCAACAGTTTCTCTTAATGTCATTGCTTTAAATGTAATTCAAATTATTCAAGTAATATGATCCCATGGTATATTGTACTAGCAATACAAGTATTTGAAAAAACAGCTGATGTTTAAATAATTAAATTTTAATTTATATATCGTCATTAACAACTGTATAAAAGTGGAGCAGCGCTCAAATCATTCTACATAGAAAGGTGATGTGAACTAAATTTATTGTCTTGAGAAAAATCGTCCCAGACGACGATTCAATTTTATAATTGATTAGACAAACTGATTGTATTAGTGATACTTTAGTAGAAAAACATTCGACTGATTTAAACTAGAAAACATACGGACACGCAGCCCGCAAATTCTTAATTTTAAAAACAATATTTCATCTGCAATCCGCATGGTGACAATTCTTATTGTCGTATTTTGTCAAATGTTGATTAATGCAAATATATTAGAATAAAATGATAATTGACAGGACGAAAAAAAAACATATTCATAATTGCACGTGTAAATAATCCGAATACAGCATGAGCAGCTGCTGCCAGTTTTACCTATTTATCAAAACCAGAATGAATTACCCCACCAATACAAAAGTGAAATTTTTTTATTCTTCAATAAGCACCATAGTTGCTATGGTAACACTGGGAAAAGAAATGCACCATACAATAATTTTTTGAAGCGCTTGCAAATAGACTATAATTTATATGAAAATAATGAAATCTTTGATTATAGTTTTCCATTCTTCGAAAATATTTAATGCCACCTATTAATTCAACATTAATAGATATTCAAGTAGAAGTAAGATATCTTCTGGTAAGGAAAAGTCGCAGAGAAAGATATGGGGTACGCCGAGTTCCGACTGCAGAGTCAGCGCAATTCCCCGCACATTTCATTTGAATTGGGTTTTATTACCAAGGATGCTCGACTTGAGGGAAATAATGACCAATATTCCTCCCTAGACTTTGGAGAAATTATAGTTAGTACAGGGTTGCGCATACACAGTGTGTGTGTGATTATATTTATATATTATATATAAAATCAACATAAACAATGACAATTAAACACAGAGCAGCTTATGAAGTCTTATAGTTTGATGAACGGTATCTTTCATGAGCAGTGAGAGTTGCTCACATTAATTTTCACAGCTGCGTCAGCTTCGCTCGGCAAATCCCCTCCGAAATATTTACTATTAAAGTCGGATTAGCACTATCTACTCAGCACGTTCCAGAACAGTTTCTTGCGGGGGTGTTTACAGTCCTATTACACAAGTTGGCTCAAAACGTCTTTATCCGCACTTTTGAATTGATGCCTTATTTTCGTGGCGAGACTCACGCCATGAGGCCTGCTCTTTTGCCTGACCACGCACATTTCGCTACGCTGTGGAGTATTTTCCATACGCACGCTGTATAAAGTTTAGGCTAAAAGTTCAAGTTACCGAATACTATAAACAATCTAGATAATTTGCCATCTACACTGTTTGACGAAGCACAAGGTCAATTCAACGCTGTTTCTTTTAAGCAAATTTTTCTTCACATTTGACAGAAAACGAACACTAACTTATGTTTTTCAAATCGTATTAAAAAAAGTAGCCAACTACATATGTTTACAAAATTCATTTGGGTTTTAATTAATTAGAAATTGTTTTGTACTTGCAACTCACCTCAAAATATAAGAGAACGTGGGTATAATATTAAATTAACACTATTCTTATGAATGCAACACTGCACAGCAATGCGTTCGCGTTTCGCGCGCTAGCGAAGAACTGTTTAGATGGAAGGGATGAGAGCTCTTTTCAATGCAGAGAAGTCCCACACTTCCTTCCATTCAATGTCACACGTACTACGTCTACAAACTTGTGCTAGACGAGTGTTATATCTTCGAGACATGTCAAGGCACTCATTGGCACCGCCAGAGCGCAGACGCAGTGGCGATCGCACACTCCGCCGAAGTGTTCAGTCCTTCAGTCCATAAAGCCACTGTTTTTCCCCCTCCAGCCACGCGGTAGCCAACGAGACGCTCTACCCGTTCGCAATTTCAGAGAATGCACCGGCTGGCTTTCACGAACGCCATTGGCTGTAGACTGTCAAATGACTGCTTCCGAACGGCGCGCGTTTTGAAATTCCAAGTTTCGGAAACTGAGAGGACTTGTAATCCCCTCTTGTTTGGAGATATTTAAGAGAAAATACACCGAACTAATTTGGATGTGCATATGCGGACGTGCGAATATGCACGAACCGCCACTGGGTAACTAAGGATAACACAAGAACAACATGAACACGCACAACATCCATGCCCGTGGCAAGATTCGAACCCGCGATGAATTTGAATTTTTTTCTAACGTTTCCAAAAGAGTGCTAATTGCACTGTTTAAGATGACAGAATTAATTTTGCTGTATTCATTAAAAAAAACAATATTTGAGAGATCTTTCAGGCCTTTAATATGCACATTTCCTGCAATTTGTAAACATTATTTCATTTTTGACTGGAAGTGCTTGACATGACGTCGTATGAAGTTATTCGAAAACTCAATAGTTTTCTGTGAAAAGAGGCTCAAATTTTGAATTTACAGTAGCACTTAAATGCCATTGTTTTTAGAACTGCTCCAAATTTTTCAATGAAAATTGCGATTTGGGACGAAGTTTTACTGTTCTTTAATATTTTTAAAGTAATAATTCTATTCCACTTTAGGAAGTCGAAAAAATTTTAACACTTCAAAACAGAATGTACTTGGGCGGCCATAGATGGCTGCTGACAAGAGTATGAAGCAAGTCCGAATTGCTAGCCGAGACCAAAGGAAATAGAAAGCTAATACGAGAAAGTGTATGCTATTCTCTAGTAGCACTAGTTCCTAACTCTCGGCAGCGGCTCCATACTTAGTCACTTTCAAGATGTGTTACATTTTAGGGTCGCAGGACTGTCGCGCTTCGTGGAAAACGTCTATTACATGAGCACATGGGAAGAAAATGCAATTATGGATCTCTTACATAAACACTATTATGAAGTACTGGCCGCTTGTGAATAAATGTTTAAGGCGAGAAAACATTGAACAGCGGCGGATCCGGATAAGAGGGCATGAGAGCGGTGTCGCCACTGCCATCTACAGTAACAAGTACCGTCTTCAAATATTAATTGATTTAGCATTATCGTAAAAATGATTTTACTACCCAATAAATTGCATCATTTAGAAGAGCAGCCAAGGTTCCCCCATGGTAAAGAAGTGAGAGGTAACATGTCAAAAGAAGGCAGGGAAATCGTTCGAGGATATGCCTGTGACTTTTTATATATCCATTTATTTCTGAATTAATAAGTCTCATACCACAATATTTCTGTATTGCATTTTTAAAATGTTAACTCATCAGTTTTGTGAAGAAACAACAAGATACGGTATAGTATCATCCAAATATAGCCCCACACACATCTCACTTTTGACTGCAAATATTAGTATGTATACAGTAGATCCATTGCTTTCTAACACGCAACACTCTCCACGCCGGACACATTGAAAATTATGAAAACTTCGTCAGCAGGTAGTATATAATCGAAGGCGTAAGTGGTCAAATTTTGACGCGCTGTTGATATTTTTAGAGGAAGAGCTAGCATGAGCAAGAATATCAAGTTTGACAGGTCTCCGACGGCCGCTCAGCGGGCACGAGCAAGGGGTGGAGGAGACCGCAGAACGTTGCGACTTCCAACTCCGAGGGCGACCTTGGATCAACCCAGGCCGTTGTAAGCAAAAATGTCTCCATCTCCGCCGCACGAAACTAGACTTCTGAGAGGACTGCAAACGTGGGCACCGAATTCCAAATCAAGCCTGATAATTATTTACATATACTCACATTTTACAACTACTGTATGTAATTTTGTTTATGATAAACACAGGATAATTAACACAATCATAAATAACTTGTGTCAGTATAGTATTGGTTACGTATATTATTGATATGATAATGCATAATCGAAAACTCATTGGAAAAACATTAACATTATGTGTATTAACCAGGCGCGGATCCACGGGGAGGGAATTAAGGGAAATTTCCCTTCCTAATGTGTTTCAGTAATTACTAATTTTAACTCGTCATGACTTATAAGCAAAAATATTTTAGGATAATTATTAAAACGAATATCGTAGCATAAACTGAGTGTATTCTGGAACATTATACAAAATCTGTAATATATATTTGACCAAATCATTTTGAATTTACCCTCCCAATACATGTCTCTGGATCCGCCCCTGTATTAACATTACACATTTTCTGAAGATTTACCTTACAAATCATAACTTGAAAGCAAATTAATGTAGTGAATTTTTATAATTTAATGTTATAATTTTTATGCTACGTATCACATTTCAATTAAATTGTTTCTATCCACATGAAAACGCGGGGAGGGGCCCGGCCTCCACATCTTAATTCTGTTTGTCTAACGGGCGATCATGACCGTATGAAACTTAATATTTTTCTTCATAACTCTTATTTTAATTGCCAACAGCATTTTAAAATTTGATTCAATGCCTTTTCGATCATGCGCTACCTGCCAGAAGAGTCTCCTAATAATTCGAGCCGCCGACACCGTGTCGTGTCACCACTTTTTGTGGTTCGAAAGTGTGACATGGCTCAGGAATGTTTATTGCCAACATTGATAACGTACCATACACATTCAATGAAAGGCACAGAGTCGTTTTTTCTCATATTAGAGAAACACGTTCGTCTCCAACTTTCGAATGTGGAAATAACAGGGCCAATTTTGCAGAAGAATTATTCTCCTTTTCTAAATCTGAAGACAACACAAGACATGCTTCGTTATTACACGAAACACCTAGAGCCAAACCTTGTAGGCGTTTCCTACGAGCCCGATAGTGAGACTGCTCTTGTCATCGCAATCATTTAATCATCCATGTACTTTTTTTCGTCAGCGTTGAAATTAAGTGTTCAGACTAAGACGGAAAAGGAGTTAAAATAAATTGAATTAAAAAAGAAAAAATGAATATCTTTCAAGGAAAAATATTGATTGATTTGAGCCTGAGGGCGTGT